CTACCAAAAGACTAAAAGAGCGTCAATTACGCTTTGGTTTCTTTACTTGATGGCATGAGTTAATTTTAGAATGTGATTATATTATAAATTGGCAACTTTTGAAGTTCAAGCAAAAATCACAGGGAAATGAACAGTGAAATAATTTAAGGAATTTTTCAATGAAATTTGATGTTCATGCGCTCTTAGCCCGCGCACGGGCCCACTGAGGGAAGAATATTACTATCTACTGAGCCCTGTCTGTGCCAATCTTGTTCCCAGAGTATGCCTGTTCGCGGGTTAGGTTGTGGCATGCCACTAACTCCGCGAACAGGCATACAATACTCTTCTCTGCCTGGTGAAGGCTATTTCAGATACGGTAGAGCACCTAGTCCCCAGGCCTTTACCAGCGCGACCGCGAAATTGAATATGGCGCCAAGCTAAGGAGTGGAGTTTAAATGGAGTTTATATTCTATAATTTCTATTGTTGTTTTTTGATCTTTTTATTCTTTTTGGTTGGTAGAACTTATATTCTGATATGCCAGGTATCTTACTCTTTACCTGATTAATCTGAAAAAAGATTTTATAACAGAATTTTTCTCAAACATAGTTTAAATTAATATCTATATGTTTCAGTGAATTATGCTTTAAAAGTAAAAAATAGATTGGCCAAGATAAGAAATTTTTGACACTATCAACTTCAATTTTGAAAATTGTAATAACAGCCTAGTTTATATTCCATAATCCACAGAGCTTGAAAATCCATGCGGAATGTACAAATTATTGACTTTTCGAGTGAAGTTCTGTTTGAATTTTTCAGGTACTAAGTTATATATAGTTATCTTGCTATCGTCTCTATCTAGCCTGGCACAGACCGTTCAAGATTGCAGATTGCACTGTTTAATTAGCACCAACACTAACAGTCATGGTGGCAGGATGGATCCAGCATGATCTGGTAGTTGGGGGGGGGGGGTTGATCTGCCAGCTCTAATGCCGAGTTATGTTGGTCATGCATGCCACCCGCCCATCAACTTACAGGTCAAGTCTTGCTTGACTACTGTATTTGAATTGTAATTGTTGTTCACAGTTCGCTTCTTATCATGTTATCGATATCACTCAAATTACTGTATCTCATTTTGTCTCTAAAATATTTTTTTGCTTTATCATGAAAAATAGCACCCCCCCTGGCCAGGGCTAGGGAGGTGACCCCCCCAGTAAATCCATCCCAACATACAGTTGGGTTTATAGGGGGAGGGGAGGGGGGTTGACAGAGGTACACACCCTTGGCCAACAGGGGAGTGTAAAAATCTAAAGGGGGGGGTGCACTTCAAATTTAATTTACCATACATCTGAGCATTTGAGATATTGTATATAATTAGTATTACAAATATATTGCCACCTTGTAACCTTAGATATTTGGGTAGTTCCTCGGGTAGAGGAGAAGTGATCACGTGATCGACTAGTTGTGTTGTTTGTGGCGTCAGATATAACCAAATCCCTATCTCTAAGCCTAATCCTTACCCTAACCCTAACCCTAACCCTTACCCTTACCCTAACCTCAAAACTAATCGCTATAACTAACTGATGACGTAGTCTGTGATGCAAATTCTTCTACCCGAGGATGTACCCAGATATTTCATGTGGTATGTGTAATTGGGGTTAGTACGCTAAGTATCTTACTGTCCTTACTCGTCAAGCAATGCCGGGTTCAGAGTCCTCACCTGTTCCCCTAGCAATCAACAATATACAATTTTAATGCCAAATTGTGTGCCAACATGCAAAATGGACTCTGCACAGGTTGTGCACTACCTTTTCATTTCATGCTGGGTGAACATTATCGTGATGATAGCAAAAAAAACATATTCACAACTAATGTGTCCTCTTTTACTACTTTTGTAATTGTCTTGTTTCATGACCTAAATAAGCTAACACACTTAGTAGCTCATGCTTACCTTTCAACCGGCACATTAGCAATGGCCAGCCCACTTTTCTTTATAGTGGTGTCAGGTGTGCAAGTTATTCAATAGGGTACTAACCTTGTATACAGGGCATTATAGAATTAAAAAAATCTGGGCAGGATGTTACAAGGCCATCGGAAGTAAATCAATATTGGGGGGACTCAAGAATATATCTGAATAAGTTTTAATTGCTTTTGCACTTTTCTAGTTATTTTGTGTGTTTTGCTTATACAAATGGAAATTTTAGGGGGGGCTCAAGCCCCCCACTTCTGACGGCCTTGTGTTACATGTGACATTGCCAGCTGCCATTTTCAATGCTGTAGATGGCAAATTTGTTTAAACAACATACACTGCAACAAATCATGATACAGACAAGCACATCCTGTATAAGAGGCTTGCTAAGATGTGTAACAAACATTCAACATCAAACAATTTAGTTATTGTCACATAAAAGAACACATAATAGAGTAAAACCTTATATGAATATCATATCTGTAAAGAATTCAGATATTCAAGTACTTCAGCAAGACATAAAAGAACACATAGTGGAGACAAACTTTATAATCAATCTCATGTTTTTCATTAACCAGGGATGGATCCAGCATGATCTGGTAGGGGGGGGGTTGCTCTACTAGCTCTGCATGGTGCCGAATTGTGTCAGTCATGTGTGCCGCCCACCCATCAACCTGTTTCACTACTGCAAAGTCTTGCTTGACTACTGTATTTGAATTGTAATTGTTGTTCACAGTTCGCTTATCATCATGTTATTACTCAAATTACTGTATCTTATTGTGCCTCTAATAACTTTTTGCTTTATCATGAAAAATAACACACACCCTCTGGCCAGGGCTAGGGGGGTGCACCCCCCCAGTAAAGCCATCCCTGTCATTAACAGTAGGGTGTAATGGACCAAGCCATCCCCTTTAATTTGTTTCTTTAGTTGGGAGAGGAGTTCTAATGAAGTAAATTGCGCAATGTCGGAAATTAGTCCTCTGGGAACTTTGCCCGGGGTGATGTAATTCCGGGGACGAATGTAACGAACACGTTGTTGATCGAAAACCTTAGCGAAGCGTGAACTACATATCAGATTATACTTGTAAATTTATTTTGTTTTATTATATATTTTATTAATTTTGTGATTGTGTTGTGAAGACCCGTTTCCAACATAAGTGGCGTCCCTCGGGTGGGCAGAAATCAGCTCACAAATCATGGAATCAATCGAAAATTTGAGCAAGAATATCGAGACGAAACTCAGGCTCATTAAGTTCACGCAAGAACAAGCAGAGAAATCAGTCGAAACAAACAATGTTTTAGCCATGGAGCGACAGATAAAGACCTTAACAATGAAGGTAGGCGAAGTTCATGATATTAAAGTTAAAATTCAAGAGTTAAAAATCGAAAAAGGCGAAAATATCGAAGATATACAGACATGGAATGCAGCGTTGGAAGATAAATTATTCGCCATCGAAGCACAAATTGCTGACCTCGACAATTCCTTAAAACGGATCGGTCAAAAGGCGATCG